CGTTCTGGGGCATACATCACGTCTGGGATTGAGCTGAATTCTTTTGGTATCCAGCCACTGAAATTGTTGTTTGCAATGTTTCTGTCAAAAATGAAAACTAGGTTAGCATTTTATCAAGCAAACAACAGGACGAGTTAAATTGCTGCCTGAAAATGAAAACTCGCTTACAGGGTAGTAAGGCCTAAACCACTTAGAACATTGACAGAACCTGTTAACTGATTGTTTTGCATATAGCTGCAAAATGTGTTAGAATGTTGCAACCAGGGCTAAAAAGTTGAACATAAAGTCAAATTGTGCTCTTAAGAAAATCACTCAATACTTACAGACTAGAAATATTTGATAGAGAGCCAATAGAAGTTGGAAGATCCCCTGTCAGTTTGTTGAAAGACACGTCCCTGTAATGCAGTATAAATAGCATTAGATGGATTTATGGAACTAAAGGTAAGAGTATGTACGTCAGTACCAACCAGAAGGTGATTTTATGACCATTACATGTTTGAAGGGTACAAGTGCATGTCAAAACAGAGATGATTAGGTAGTAGGGGTAGTGAAAGGATTGTACTGAGAAGGGATGGGTGCCCTCTGTGACAGGGTGGGAATGAGATGCTGGGAGATGGGACTATGGGAGTTATTGGTGGATTGAGAGGGTTTCATATGAACTGTGAAGCCAGCAAATGAGTTATATTAATTTACATCATCTATGCTCTTAAAAAATGAAGTTTGAACTATATTGGTTCCAGAAGACATAGGTGCCACGTTGTGGGAAAAGTATCCGGAAAGTGTGTGGATGACAAAATTGCCTAATCACATTTTTATAAATTCATAGTAGTTTGCAAAAAAAAAAAGAGCAGAGTTTGAAGATGCCTTACAACTCTGAAAGTGAGCTGAGGTTTCCAAACAAATCGCCTATTTGTTGAGCCAGTGAGTTGTGGCTGAGATTGCTGCATAGAAAGGTTAACCGCGATCAGACATTGCCAGCAAAACTGAATGCTAACACATTCATAGTCGTGCATATAAAACCGAAAAAGTTGCGAGGAACGTATTTTCTTACAGGTACTCAATTGCAGCCATGTTGGATATGGAGTATGGGAGATTGCCAGAGAAATTATTGGTCGCCAGATTCCTGCATCACCACATTCAGAGTGAAACCACCGACACAAACAAATGCAGTAACAGATTATGCCAGGTAGGATACATACAGATATGTGAGATTCGGTGGCAGCTGGTAAGGAATTGAACCTTGAATCTGGTTGTTGCTCAAATCCCTGCAAGTAACGGAACGGGGGTCAACATGATGCACAAAGAGAAGAAGAAAAACGAGAACAGTGGGCGAGTTGTGGGGAGCTCTCACAATGTTTTGAGTGAGAACAGATTGGAGAGCTCGTAGCCCAGAGAGCCGTTCAGCCCTGTCCCGGGAAGCTTGCTGTTGGATACGAGACAAGAAGCACGGGCTTAGGATGCACGGGGTACTGGCAAAACTCAATCACCGGCCGAAAAGAAAAACAAATCAACGGGTTGAGGCGTGCGAGAATGGATGCTTACATTTCGGTGACGCCCGAGCCGGTGCAGGAGACGCCCTGCCACCCCGCGCCGCAGGGGTCGCCGCCGCCGCCGGCCGACCAGCCGGCCAGCTGCGGCGGGCTGTTCCAGGAGGTGTAGAGATTCCCCAGAGCGGCGGCTGCGGGGACCCAGGCATCATTAATTATCGCGCCCACCGACACGCGCGCGAGAGATCAACAGAAAAAAAAAGTCGGGATCGGAAGCGGAGACGTAGGCGGAGGCGCTCACCGTCGGAGGACTCGGTGGTGGCCCCCGCGGTCGCCGCCGCGAGGGCGACGAGGAGCCCGGCCAATGCGGCCGCCGCCATCCCCCGCCCGCTCCCCCAGCACCAGCAGCGGGACTCTCGCTCTCGCCTGACAAAACCCACGCGCCTTTCCCGGGGGCCTCCTCGGTGGCTTGTACCGCCGGTCCAGGCCAGGCGGCTAGGACACGGGGATCACCATGGGCGCGGACGGATGGCTTCTCTCTCCTCCCACTCACCGAGAGCAGCGGCAGGGCAGCGCAGCGGGGTACAGCTAACGTGCGCGGCGCAAACAGCTAGCCAGGCAGCGGAAAGAGGAGAGAGAAGGGGGGGTGCCTTGCGTCGTCCCGGCAGCAGATTTGGATGCGGCGTGGCAATGGGGTCGGCAAGACTTATTAACTCTCTCTCTCTCTCTCTCTCTCTCTCTCTCTCTCTGCTCGCGTCTTAAATTTTGGTTGGGTTCTGGGTTGGCTCGCTCGCTCGCTCTTGGCTCCCAGCGCTTCTGATTTGATTTGACCCAAAAAACGGGGGCAGGTGAAAGAAAGGTGAGCGCGAGGGCGAGGCTGCCGGTGCTCGCGAACGGCGTGGGCGAAAGCGATTCTTTTTAGTAGCACAGTGATTTTGTGCTTTGTGTTTGACTGAGGAGTAGTACTAGTTAACTTGGTCAAATGAGATTCTTCCGTTGCTTCCGCACCCTTTCCACACAGGCTTTACTCTTTTTTTTGAAAGTCACACAGGCTTTACTTGCGTGCCGTACGCCCCTGCCTTCGTTAACCACAACAAAGTTACAAGGTCGCCCGTTAATCACTTTGTTCGTGAGAAAATGGCTAATTTAGTTCGAATGTTCACTATCGGTTCATGATCCACTTGCGTCCCTGGTACTCGTTGCGGTGAACCAGCTTGACTGAGAATGATGTACACGTTGAAAACACACGTCTCTCACATGCTAAATTCCAGGCCGTGTTTGGTAGATCCTGCCGGTGGCCAGTTGGGCATTTCGAGTAATTATTGAGTTGCCAGTTACAACTCGCCGGTACAAGCTCTAGCCATTTGTTCTTTTAGATTAGACAGAGTGCTTTGTTGCAAAATGGGGTGCGGTTAGCTATGGAATCAAGGAAACATGGGTAGTACAAGATTAATAATGCGTGCGTGTGAGGAGGAGTTGAAATTTCGTTTACAATATTATGTGTCATTGAATCTGGGGGTTTACTGGTTTGTTTATGACTGTATTTTAGTAGGTTAATCTATGATTTACATCTCCATATTTATTTGATTGTGTAAAAGAAAACATGTCTCATAAGCACTTATTAAATCAGCAAAGAAAACAAAACTTTATGTGGTAATGATAAGAGGTGAGACAATTGAGACGGTTTATAGGGGAACAAAGTGAGAAAAAATCAGTTGTGGGAAGAAAAAATAATCAAACAAGGATATACGAGGGGACATACCTAAGGCGAACCTTATGTTCTTTTCGACTAGGAGAGATAATAGTACTCTAATGTGTGCATCCTGGCTTGCAAAGCAGAATCCTAGCATGTCTAAGGCTTCCTCTCGCCTTTATGGAAAACTATATAATGCCCAGAGCTTGTATACATTCTTCAGCCGAGCAAAAAAAATTGCAACCCCCTTCTTAAAGGTCTTTATTTGGAAGTAAATTCAACTTTTGACCTCCTATGTACTGAAGCGTTCTAGATTGACGGTTTCAATTTATCTTTCCTTTTCTACCGTATAATCGTGCATTATTTTGTTTTGTACCCCCATCATGACATCTCTAGCCCACTTGTCAGCCACATCGACGCCCCGCTGCAAAATATTGAAAAACAAATGACATGAATTCCCATAAAATGTTTCAAAGAAACATATGATACCCATTTTAACTCCACGTAAGTGGTATTTACTACTTCACTGCAACTATAAATGCCCATTTCAAATCTTTAAATAATAAAAATGGCATGCCATAATTTGAATTATACTTCTATTTTCTGGGGGAAAAGTATTCCCCGGTTTAGATGTAGATTGAGTAATATATGATTTTAGAGGTTTTTGTGACCATCTTTAAAATATATTGTGATGTGGCATCCAAGCAATTGCAACACGACTCTAGCAAGTGGGTCTGAGATGTCATGATGCTGAAAAACTCCTTAATTAGGGTCGAACGAAATAATGCATGACTAAGGGTTGAAACATAATCGAATTTTGAAATCCATCGGTTTTATTATACATCGAGAAATAGGAGGTAAAAATGTGAAAATTTATTTACTTTTTCTTTTGCAGGCAATTTTTTTTACTTTTTGACTTTGTGCTACGTCCTGTTTTTAGAGGGATGTCATGTATATCATGTTAAAAAACATCTAGAGTGCAATTAGTAGACATCGCGCAGGATTTCGCTGGGATTTTGTGCCCATTTTTTTGCCTAATTCGTTTGGTATTTATGTCATGATTTATCTATCACATTTTTGATTAATTTACATAAAAGATACTCAAATATTCAACATATGTCTCAATTAAGAAAGGAATAGCAGATTCAAAAGTCAATGGAATAGCTACATTATAGCTAACGAAGCATTCTTAACAGTTTGGGACACACGAGAGAAGTGAGTGGGGAACTATTTCTTCAGGCCCCGCTTGGTTCCTCGTTTTAGGGCCCAATACACCTGTAAAATATACCCCTGTAAAATAAAAATGGATGGGCCTGTCGTTGGTGCTTGGCATGTCGTTTTTGGGCTGTAAGTTTTACACTGGTTTTCTCGTTTACACCCGTATCAGGCCGGTATCCGATACAGACCTGAGGCCGTCGTTTTTCCCCACCTCGCCTCTCCCTCGAGACCTAGATCGAGTTGCGCCGCTGGGAGGCGCCGGTGCTGGTGTCCACGAGGTGGTCAAGCAACGGCGTTCGCGACGGCGACGTGGTGAGGCGCAGAAGACGGTGGCCACGACGGGGGTTAGGTGCGCCGACGACGGCGACTCGTTCCTGGCCGCGACGGTGACGGCGACTCGCTCCTGGCCGCGACAGTGACGGCGACTCGCTCCTGGCCGCGACGGCGACGTTGGCTGGCAGCCGTGACCTGAAGAGCCAAGCACATATGCGTGTAGTCTGTGCTGTTGAATATGCGTGTACTCACGCATATTTTACAAGTGGATTGAAACCTGGAGAGCCAAACACATATTACAACCGGATAGAAAATACCACCCTTTGAAATGTATTTGGTTGGAGGCTGGTATAATACAGGTGTAAAAAAATACAGGGGTGGCAGAAAAACTACATTCCAAACGGGGCCTCAATGGTTGAAATGGCGGGTATCTCATATTCTGATCTTGACCATTTTGTCTTGTGTCGGCAAAGAAATAGAAGGAACGGAACAAGATTGTGATCAGCTGTTTGGTAGAACGATAGGGAACTTTTTCTGCCCAAACATGATGCGGGAATCCAGTAGCAGAACGTGTTTTATCCCGGGCTGGATCAAGTATCCGTGACATGTTGACATTTGAAGTAACGCATACCCACATTTTGTTTTTTGACGCAGCTGACTATATTTGTAACGCCCTATTTTCAGTTAGATATTTTAGTACTATATAAGAGTATCCACAGCTAGACGCTCAAACGACCGAGTTGATCGGCACCCCTCATACCGAACCCAAATAAGGGTTAGATATGGAGGCGTCCGAACGCATCCGCCGCGACGGATCCGGCCGACGTTGATCCATCCGACCTCACATATATTCCTTCTCAGCCGTTTGCCGGACCAAATCCTAGTCACTTCACTCTCCTCTGCCACTCGAACTCCCGTCTGATGATCTTCGGCCGTCTTCGGCATGGCGGGCAGCGGATCTGAGTCCTTCACTTCAGATCTGTGACCCTGAGCTCATCCCACGCGGCTCCGGGGAGGAGACGGCCGTCCGGTTTGCTCGCCGCCGCTCCCGGGAGGAGGCCCATGCGAGGCAGCGCTCGGACTCCTTCCATCGGGAATCCATTGCATCTGCTCAGATGGCGCATGGATCCAATGTTAGGTGTGCCGTCGCGGCCTCACTGGATGTCGTGCGGTCCGTCTGGTGTCCAAATGCGGTGCTGGACGCGCAACCCCTGTGTTGGCGCTCCGAGGCCATGGACGCATCATGGGTGTTGTCCGACGCAAACATGACGTGTCGTGCCCGCCGTGCGAGGCAGCGGGCGTGGCAGGCGGCGACGGCCCTCGCGGCGGTGGACGTTGGAGAGGCGGAGTCACATTCTCCAGTGTCCCGATGGATGGCCTGCACACCCCGCATGCTGCACCCGTTTGGTCGTGGATGTCGGCGGCTTCTCCTAGGACGGATCCATCACTGATCTGACGTTCACCGGCACTGTTTGGGTTCCGGACTCTGACGAGGAAGAGTAGGGCATGGGAGACGGCGGTGTCTTGAGCCTCGTGAGCCGGCCCGTGTCCTATGCCCTACGCTACCTTATCAGCGATCGGACCAACACTCTGGGGAGCGTAGCTGGCCGCCGGACATAAGCACGCCGGAAGCGCGCAAGCTCCGCTTAAAAATCGATTTACGTTGTATATAATAATATAAATTTGAGGTTTCTAATTTAAAGTGTCCATTTGTAGAATTAAATACTAAAGACTTGGCCGGTTAGTGTCCACGGGCGTATGAGGGCATCTTCAATATTTTGTATGTTAGCTTGTTGGTAAAATATGACATGTCATCAACCAACACCTTAACATACAACAACTCCAATGGGTTGTATCTAGTTTGCCCAATAGGATGTGAGATAATAAATGGGGTGCTCTCTCATTCTGCATTGAAGCTTGTGCAATGGGTGTTAGTTCATGTACATACAACCTTTCTCTCTTTCCTCATTTATTGTATGACACATCATCAAAAATCCTATGTGGCAAAGTCTACCAACAACTATCTTACAACCATTGGAGATGCCCTGAGGGTCGGATTTAAACAAGTCCTGCTGAGACGGTGCTCAACGTGGCAGTTAGACGTTGACACGTGGCTCGTCTTATGGGTCGTCGTGCCCTTTATCCGAGGTTGGCACAACCGCACAAGCGACCTGACCTGTCTTGGTAGCTGGTAGG